AAAAGGACGACATAAAAAAAAAAACAAACAAAAAAAAAAAAACAAAAAAAAAAACAAACAAAGAAAAAAAACCCGGTGTTTATCACCGGATATAGAATCGAAGGAACCGGAATTTTTGGTAAAAGAATTTATTATCTGAATCTCTTTATAAATAAAGACTCATTGATGGGCTTATTTGTAAATTGCCCCATATATTTTAGTTGAATGGGGTTCAACACTAGTCAAGTGTCCGAAACCCAGTTCATCTTTCAACATGTTTTATTCAATATTCAAACACTGTATGTAAATCAAGACTCCAAATGTAAACCAATTCCAAATAATACAGTTTATGTACGTATATATATATATATATTGGACTGTAAATTTGCAGTTCTCTTGCATGTATGTATTTTGTCGGCCATACTTGACTTTCGTCGTCATCTTTAATTCTTCCTGGTCTTTTTTTAATATTTCGTCTTTTGTACGGATTTCACTTTCCAAAAGCTTTGTTCATTGATTTCTTTGGACCAAGTTGAGTATCTTTTTCTTTTTATTAATTACTTTTTTTATATTTTTGTTTTTGTTTCTTCTATAGTTGCTTATGATTCTTTCCTTTGCTACTAAGTTTAGCCCCCAGAGAAAAAATTAAAAAAGGGCGATCAAAGGTTTTTGAAATAAATATCGAATTGAAAGTTTGATTATTTGTTGTATATATATATATATATATATATATATATATATATATATATATATATATATATATATATATATAACTGCTGTTGAATTTTTCAGGCAAGAAAATAAATAAAAAAAAGAGCAAGAAAAGATGATGAAGGAAGAGGATGAACAGCCAGCATTGATTGATTTGGTTTTCTCTTGGTCCATAGCTGATATAATTAACAAAGATCTTTACAGGGACAAGGTTTCTTGATTAATCTAATTATAATTCTTACATCCTTAATTTTTTCCAATATTTTACTAAGTATATGTTTTTTTTCTTTTAGAAAGTTCCAAGTATATATTACTGATGCCCCTTTAATTTCCTTTTTCTTTTGTAAATATTGGCAGGTGAATCCAATTCCAGACACATTCTCATCATCAGATAATTATTTGGAGTCATTTGTGAATCCGCTTCTCGAAGAAATACACGCCGATCTCAACTCCGAATTCTCGAGTTTGCACTCTGCTCCCACTTGCGAAATATTCGATGTCAATAAAATAAGTAACAATAACTTGTTTTACTCGATAGTTTTGTGGAGATCGCGAAATAGTGATGACAATCCGAGGAGGTATAAACCGGAGTTTGGCGATTTAATTGCATTAACCGACGTGGAACCGAACTGCATTGATGATTTGAGCACACCGGAAAGACCGTACTCCGTTGCTTTAGTTCAAAGGATGAAGAATCAAGAATCTATTACGATATCGATCCTATCTTCGCAACCTATTGTTTTCGAAAAGTGCATAATCGGAAAGAGACTCTTCGCCGTTCATCTTACGAACATGATAACAAACATGCGGATATGGAAATCGTTGCATCCGGGCTTTGGTGGTAATAGGAACATTATTAACTCTGTTCTTAATACCAATCCATCTGTAAGACTTTCTTTATTACGATTCCGATTCCGATTCTTTCTTTATTTGAAAATTGTGATTAAATTGTTGGTCTTTTTTGTGCGGTGTGCAGTTAGAAGAGAAGTGTACACTTTGTTCCTTTACGGAAACCGAGAGCTTACGTGTATCGAAGTCGAGGGAAAATATAAACTCATTTGGGCTCGACGATTCCCAAAAAGCTGCTGTTTTGAATTGCATTGCGTTGACGGAATGTCGCCATGAAAATCGGGTGAAGCTGATATGGGGCCCACCCGGAACTGGTAAAACGAAAACGGTGGCTTCATTAATATTCGCCCTTTTGAAAATGAAGTGCAGGACAGTGACTTGTGCTCCGACTAACGTTGCTGTAGTAGGAGTGACAAAGCGGCTGATGGTCTGAGTGGTACGTTGGAGTACGATACTTACGGATTGGGCGATATAGTTTTGTTTGGAAATGGCGAGAGAATGAAGATTGACGAGCACGAAGAATTGTACGATGTGTTTCTTGAAAATCGTGTTTCTGTATTAGCGCATTGTTTTGCACCGTTAGTTGGGTGGAAAGGTTGTCTTGATCAGATGATGTCACTACTCGAAGACCCTCAAGTCCAGTATTTACATTATTTTGAACAACAAAAGGAGATCAACAAAAAAGACGAGGATGACGAGGAGATGGAAAATACGGGTAAGAGCGAAAATCTCAAAGAAACTTCGAAACGGGATTCCTTGAAGAAGTTAGTCATTCAAAATAAAAGGGACAACAAGAAAAAAAAGTCGAAGCAAAACGCGTCTTCACGAGAAAAGGGAAAATCCAAGTGCGACGAGGTTAAAATTTCGATGACATTTGATGATTTTTTTACGAAGAAGTTCTTTGTTCTTCGAAAGAAGCTATTCGTTTGTACGACGGGTTTGTACACTCATTTGCCGACTTCCTATCTACCTTTGGGAGTAGTAAAGAACATGATTGTAGTTCTTGATATGCTCCAATTACTTGAAAATTTTCTTCGTACTGTGAATATCACTAACGACGGATGCGTACATCGAGCTTTATTTGGGGTGGAAGAAACGGGATTATGTGGCACTAGATTGGAGTGCCTCAAAGTATTGAAGCTCCTTCGTTTAACTTTCTCAGTCCCAAATTTTATCGACGATAGTAAAATCAAGAACTTTTGTCTCACAAATGCATGCGTACTTTTCTGCACTGTTTCGAGTTCGGTGAAATTATACACGAAAAGAATGAAACCATTGGAAATGGCGATAATAGACGAAGCTGCACAGCTCAAAGAATGCGAGTCGTCGATTCCGTTGCAACTACCTGGTCTTCGCCATGCTGTACTTGTCGGCGACGAGAAGCAGCTCCCTGCTATGGTTATAAGCAAGGTTTGGAGTCAATTTTTAATTGTTTATTAATTATTGTTAATCGATAAGTTTTAATATTTTGTTTGGTATTGACGTAGATATGTGAGAAAGCTGGATTCGGGAGGAGTTTATTCGAGAGGCTTGTGAAGTTAGGACACAGCAAACACCTTCTCAATATTCAGTACAGAATGCATCCTTCCATTAGTTTGTTTCCGAATAAGGAGTTTTACGGAAACCGAATTAGTGATGGCCCGAATGTTAGAAAAATATCCTACGAGAAAAGATTCCTCGAAGAAAAAATATACGGCTCGTTTTCTTTCGTAAATATAACCAATGGGAAAGAGGAGTTAAATAACCGGAATAGTCTGAGAAATATTGTGGAAGTCTCTGTGGTTGTTGAAATTGTTTCTAGACTCTATAAAGGTATTCTTAATTCTCCAAATATGTATTAAATATTTTCGATCATTAGTATTACGAGTTTTAATATTTAATTTACATTGATTCGTAGAAACTATGAAGTCGAAGAAAAGGGTCCGTGTTGGTTGCATATCTCCCTACAATGCTCAAGTGTATGCAATTCAAGAATCACTTGAAAAGGCTAACTATAGCACCGATGCAAATGATTTATTTTCGGTATATGTGCGCTCTGTCGACGGTTTCCAAGGTGGCGAAGAAGATGTGATTATTATTTCCACCGTCCGGTGTAACGGGAGCGGATCTATCGGGTTTCTCGATAATCGTCAAAGAGCCAATGTAGCTTTAACTAGAGCAAGGTAGATTACCCCATTATCTGCATATGCATTAATATCAGATTTTGTTCCATCATACATTAATATGATGCGTCTATTTATTAATTTATTATAGTTAAACCTCTATAAATTAATACAGTTGGGACTATGGAAATTCTATTAATTTAGCGAATTATTAAATTATCGAATTAATAATTTAATACGTTATCACAGGGTCGGGACCGAGAGAAATTATTATTTAAGCGAGGTTATTAATTTATCGAGGTTCTACTGTATTACAGGTACTGTCTATGGATATTGGGTAACGGCGCGACTTTGTTGAACAGCGATTCTATTTGGCGAAAGTTGGTGTTAGATGCGAAAAAACGGGGATGTTATTACAACGCTTACGACGATAAGAACTTGTCTCTCGCAATAAGCAATGCTCTAATTCAGCTTAATGAGCTGAATTCCTTGTTTGGTATGGACTCTATACTATTCAAAGAGTCTAACTGGAAGGTATAAACTTGTTATTACAGCAACAAATTTCAGTTCACCAATTAAGTTTTCTCAAGGGGAAAAATTAAAATTTCCACCCCTCAAGTTTACCTTAATTCCACAACTGATCCTCCATGTTCACAAAAAAAAAAACAGTTTTCGTCCCTCAAGTTTCAATGATTTTACATTTTTGGTCATGTCCGTCAATTTTCCGTTAATAATAACAGAACCAAGCATGTGTCCACCACTCTCGAAATGACCAAAAGTTTCAAATTGTTGAAACATGAGGGACCAAATGTATTTTTTATGAACATGGTGGACCACATGTGGAAACAGTGCAAACTTAAGGGACATAAACTGTAATTTTCCTTTTTTTCAAGTCGTTTATGTTTCGAATGTTCTTTTTTTTTCTGTTTCGGCCTAATGGTCAACTCAACCACAAAGTTTTGTGACTATCGATATTTTCGTAATCCTTTCAACCGAAAAAAAAAAAAAAAAAAATTAGTTACATCTAATACTATGCTTATTATAGCTTATACTATGTTATTCTCTCTTTAATATATATAGGTTTGCTTCAGTGCACAATTCCATCAATCTATTACAAGATTCCACGACATGGAAATCCACAAGGCCGCAGTTTCTGTGCTGGTGAAGATGTCGAACGGGTGGCGTCAGTTGAAGAAGAAAGACGAAAATGCCCCTAAGAATTTCGACTTAATGGGAGGTGCCTCCTCTCAGCTATTGGAATTTTATGATGTGAAGGGGCCAATAAAACTAGTTTGGACTATAGAAATTGTAATCGAAAATTCGATAGAAAAGCAAGTTATCAAAGTTTTGGATATTTTGCCGCGGTGGGAGATATCGGAATTGGCAAAGAAATTCGATGCCGTGGTGGGGAACTATACTATGAACCAAATGAGCCGTTGCTTGTGCAAACAAATACAAAGGTAATCAAGCAAAGTTGTGTACAATTTGCCATGCTTTGTCATAGACATAATTGATTCTCTTTATTTTTATTTTTGTGTTGATGCATGAAGGGGGTTGATGCATCCGATGACGTGGCCAGTTGACCATGGAAAGAAGTCAACTAGTAATGAGTTAGCTACTCAACTAGGAGCATTGACTTTGAGAGGTGCTCCATCATCATCCACAACAAGGTAAAGTGTAAATTAAAACCCGGTCCCACTTTTCGAGTCAGAATTTGGCAAAGTCCCGAACACATAATTTGTAGTTTTTTGAGTTCGATTTCTATTCCAACTCGAATCACCAAGAATTGGATGAGAAAGATGTGCATTAATTAATGAACAAATGCCCACAACTTTGATGTGTTAAGTCAAGTAAAACTCAAAGTATAATCGATTCATACATAACTTTTTTTTCACGCTACAGCCAATTCAGATGATTCAAGTTTGATTAGAAAGCTAACTCGAAGGTGTACGGTTTTAGTGTTTTGAGTTTTGCCAAAATCAGACTTGAAAAATTGTCAAAATCACATTTAAAATCAAAATGGTATTAGTAAATTTGAAACGACATTTAACATTCTAGTAATATAAATAAAAAAATAAAAAAATAAATAGGGAAAATGTGTGCAAGAAAAATATAACACTTTTTTACATACAAATATTGAGTTTAAAATATTTTTCGACGTGGTTCTATTTCTTGAAAAATATCTATCATTTCATGAACGGTTACATTGCTTAGTACATTTATCTCTTTTGGGATGAATTTGTGGGTGAGAGGACTTTTTGGTAAACTCACCATTAATATTTATTTGTTGTGTTCTCTTTTAGATATCAATGGAGGAAAATCAATTCGGATCGGAGTTGCAATTGATAGTCGGCTTATGAGATCCTATACATCGTGAAATACACCATCTGGAGCTAATGAAAAAAAAATCATGTTTTTTTTTCTGAAATGTAATCATCATTGCGTGTAAGTTGTAACCAGATCGAAACCAGTTTGTACAAGAGAGAGAGAGAGAGAGACTAGTGTCTCCGGTTCCGATTGATTCTTCCACTTCCACGGTATTTTTTGTCGGAAACAAAACATAAAAAAATGAGAATAACAAAAAATGATTCTTGTGATCCTCAATTCATTAATCAAACTATGTTCGATCAATATCTTGTTGTGTGCGCGTGATTCTCTCTCCAAGTGATTGATGCTGCCTCGTAAGTAGTAACCTTCCCGCCATCAACCTCCCATGTCGACGGAACCATCAATCCCCTGCATTGCATGAAGTAAACCACTAACACTATCAATTAGCCGTTGATTGTGTTGTTTTTCGTGTTTTTGGAAAACTTACTTTTGAATTATCTTGCACAGATGTTGGGCTAAATACCTAACATGCAAGTGCACGTATCGCAAACAAGTAGTAATAGTGGACTCGCAAGAGTCGGATGTCGATCACATGGAAGATAGAGAAGTGAAAGAGCCTATAAAGTTTCCCCACCATCACCTTAAAGTGTTCTAGTTTGTTGGCTATTATTGTCGCAACACTGACGTTGAATTACTTAGCTACATGTTGAAGAATTGTGCCGTGCTTGAGAAAATAATAATTGATTGCTCCAGTCCATTCCCCGATCCCGATAAATTAGGTTTGGAACAAACTGCGAGGAATAACATAAAGCAACGACTTGAACCACGAGTACCTCAACGCGTTGAATTGGTTATTCTATACCTTTGACTTTGTAAGGATTGGATATTAACTATTAGCTTTACACTGTGTGGAGTGTCTACCGGAGTAGAGGATTTTTCAATATTGATGTTCACATGTTACATTATACTTAAACAAAGTTAAATAGCGGGTTTTTCCGGTTAAAACTCATAGGTAAAATTTAAAATTTATTACGAACCTTTTACGCAGATCCTTGCGTACAGGTTACATGCAAGAACGATTATATTTCCGAAAGAAACAAAAATTATGCATATTTGTTCATTAACTAGAGAAAACATTGAAAAACATAAGGAAATAAAAGAAAACAATAAGAATAACGACAATAGTGTCGGTCTATCTGTTTTAACTCCGATCCCGATTGATTCTCCTCCCATGATATCTTCTGTCGGAAAGAAAACACCCAAAAAGATGAATTTATTTCAATTTTTCCTCAGGTTAAATACAAAAACACCCCTAAATGCATCGCGAGAATATACTAATGAAGAGTATACCTTGTTTTGGGAGATGATCTAGGCTGATTATTGTTCCTCAAGCAGATTGCTGCTAGCCGAGTAGCTAGCTCGTTGCTAGTTGTACTCGGTGCATCGTTAATTGGCCATGTCATCGGAATTATTAACCCCCTGCATGCATCGTCAAGTAACCAAATATTTATACTTCATTTGATTCTATCACAAAATATTCACTTATATATGTCTACAACAAGACATGGAAGTTTGTGCTTACCTTTGATTTTGTTTGCACAGACAACGGCTCATTTGATTCATAGTGTAGTTCCCCAAAGAAGCATCGAATTTCTTCGACAGCTGTTCGATTTCCGACTGAGGCAAGACATCCAATACTTTGATAACTTGAGTTTCCACCGAATTTTGCCTCATTATTTCAATAGTCCATGCAAGTTTTATTGTCCCCTTCACATCATACAATTCAAGTAGCTGAGAAGAGGAACTAGGGGCATTTTCGTCTTTCTTCTCTCGCTGACGCCACCCGTTCGAAAGCTTCACCACTATAGAAACCACTTCCTTGTGAATTTCCACGTCTTTGAGTCTCGTAATAGACTCGTGGAATTTTGGACTGAAACAAACCTATATATATACAGATACATATATAGATATATAGACAACATTGCAAGATTAAATGACAGGAAAAACGAAAGTATATATACATTGTGGCTGTAATGTGACGGTTCATATCGTATACCTTCCAGATAGCCAATTTGAACAGTGTAGAGTCCACACTGAACAACGAATTCATTTGTCGAAGCTCGATTAGTGAGTTGCTAATAGTGAGCGACAAATTTTTATCCTCGTAAGCATTATAAAAACAGCCCCGATTTTTAGCTTCCATCACTAACTTTTGCCAAATCGAACCGCTGTTTAACAAAGTTGCGCCGCTGCCCAATATCCAAAGGCAGTGCCTGTAATGTATAATAGCCACACACAAATAAGCATCCATATTAATATAATTCATATAATAACACGTTTTCACTGAGTCGAGGCCGAGAGATACTATTATTTAAGCGAGGTTATTAATTTATGAGTATTAATTTATCGAGGTTCTACTGTATTTGTATTTTAATGTAGATCACTACCTGGCCCTAGTCAGAGCTACATTGGCTCTTTGGCGATTATCGAGAAAACCAACCAATCCATTCCCATTGCATCGAACGGTAGAAATAATAATAATATCTTCTTCGCCACCTTGAAAACCGTCAACAGATCGCACATTTACCGAAAACAAGTCTTTTGCATCGGTGCTATAATTAGCCTTTCGAAGGGATTCTTGAATTGCAAATACTTGTGCTTTGTATGGCGATATACAACCTACACGGACCCTTTTCTTCGATTTCGTACATTCTACAAAACAATTAATATAATTTAAAAATAAAAAATAAAATAAAAATACAGTACTAATGATTAATAATAAGAATATATACCTTTATAGAGCTTGGACACTATCTCAGCAACAGCAGAGACCTCCACCATATTCCTCCGACTATGCCGGTTATCGAACTCCTCTTTCCCATTGGTTATATTTATGAAAGAAAACGAGCCGTATATTTTTTCTTCGATAAATCTTTTTTCGTAGGCTCTTTCTCTAACATTTGGACCATCGCTAATTCGGTTTCCGTAGAATTCGTTATTCGGAAACAAACTAATGGAAGGATGCATTCGATACTGAATATTGAGAAGGTGTTTGTTGTGTCCTAACATCACAAGCCTCTCGAACAAACTCCTCCCGAATCCAGCTTTCTCACATATCTACATCAATTCCAACACAAAATATTCGGTAAAACTTCTCAATCATCAATAATTAAATAACAATTTAAAATACGAATTAAAACCTTGCTTATAACCATAGCTGGGAGTTGTTTCTCATCGCCGACAAGTACAGCATGGCGAAGACCAGGTAGCTGCAACGGAATAGCCGACTCGCACTCCTTAAGCTGTGCGGCTTCGTCGATTATCACCATTTCAAAAGCTCCTTGCGTGTGTAAGTTTGCAGAGCTCGAAACAGTGCAAAACATTAAGCACGCGTTTTTTAGACAAAAGTTCCTAATTTCGTGATCTTCTATAATTTTCGGGACTCTAAAAATTTCGCCGAGTGACTTCATTACTTTAAGGCACTCTAATCTGATTCTACATAAATTAGTTCCGTCACATCCGATTATCAGCGCCCGCTTTAACAACCCTTGATTGGTTACATCAACTTTACGAATCAAAGTTTCAAGTAGCTTGAGCGTATCGACCAATCGAATCATATCCTTTAGTACTTCCGTAGAAAGCAACAAAGTCGGCATATGCGTGTACAACCCTGTCGTGCAAACGACTATCTGCTTTCTAAGAGCGAAAAACCTCCTCGTAAAAAACTCTTCAAATGTCATCAAAACCATGTCTTGCTTATCGTTTGCCTTCGATTTCATGACTTTTTCTTGTTCCTTGGAATTTTTGTTTTTGTTCTTGTTTTCGTTTTTATTTTGGATGACTAAATTCTTCAAGAAACTCCTTGTTGATGATGTTTCTTCGAGATTGCTGCTGACGTCAGCGTCGATGTCGTCTTCGTTGCTCTCTTCTTGTTGTAACGAGTAACGGAGATACATTCTCTGAGGGTTTTCAAGTAGGGACATCATTTGATCAAGACAACCTTTCCAACCAGTCAACGGTGCGAAACAGTGACGTAGTACGGAAATACGATAATCAAGAAACACATCGTACAAATCTTCGTGCTCGTTAATCTTCATTCTCTCACCGTTTCCAGACAAAACTATATCGCCCAATCCGTAAGTATCATACTCCAACGTACAACTCAGACAACTCATCAACCGCTTTGCAACTCCCATTACAGCTCGGAGCACAGGTCAGTGTCCTGCACTTCATTTTTAAAAGGGTGAATACTAATGAAGCCACCGTTTTCGTTTTTCCGGTTCCGGGTGGGCCCCATATCAGCTTCACCCTATTTTCATGTCGGCATTCAGTCAACGCAATGCAATTCGAAACCGCACCTTTTTGGGAATCGTCAAGCCCAAATGAGTTTATAACTTCTCTAGACTTTAACACGTTAATGCTCTCGGTTTTCGTAGACAAGCAAAGCGTACAATTCTCTTCTACCTGTACATTACACAAAATCAAACAATAAAAATTTCACAGTATATATATAGAGAGAATCGCGTGTAGTAAATCGAAAACTTACGGATGGATTGATATTAAGAACAGAGTTAATGATGTTCATATTTCCACCTTCGCCGGGATGCAAACCGCTCCATATCCGCCTGTTTGTCGTTAAGTTCGTAAGATACACGGCAAACAGTACTCTATTTCCCATTCTACCCCTTTCCCTATCGAATTCAATAACCTTCGACGAGAGGATCGGAATCTTGATAAGATTCTTTTCCTTCATGCCTTGAACTACAGCAACAAGGTACGATACTTTCGGCCTGTTCAAATCGTCAATGCACTTTGGTCTCACATCGGTTATCGCGATTAAATCGCCAGACTCGGGTTTATACTTCCCTAAGGGAGTACTGCTGTCGCTATTTCCCGATTTTTTCAAAACCATCAAGTATTGTAAGTTCTTAGGAATGTTGAATCCTTTCGATATTTCGACGTCGTATATTTCGCAGAAGGGTGCAGAGTGCACACTCAGCATGTTCGTGCGGAGATCGGCGTGTGTTTCTTCGAGAAGCGGGAACACGAAGGAATTCAAGTAATGGTGCGACGACGAGAATGTGTCGGGAATTGGGTTCACCCCATGCCCAGACATATATATATATATATATATATATATACATATATATATATATATATATATATATATATATATATATATATATATATATATATTGTAATGAAGTAAATTAAATATTTGGAAAAATTGAGCATGCAAGAATTATATATTATGATTAAATTAAATTCAAGAAACACCTTATCGTTGTAAAGATCTTTGTTCATTATATCAGATATAGACCAAGAGAAAACATAATCAGTCAAACATAATGGAGTTTTATCTTCTTTCTTCACAATCAACGTAATCTCTTCCTTTTCTTCTTTATCTTCTTCCCTAAAAAATCAACACTACATTTATTTAATATATACTAGCATTTTTAAAATTGAAATTAATGATTAGTTTAATACATGACGATAACAATTATAATAAAATTTATTAGTGATATCGATAACAGCATTAACATTTATACAAATTTAATTATACAAACTCATATAGAAAAAAAATGTATAAAAACTTAATTGTCATAATGTGATCAAATTGATCATTAAATAAATGAAGCAAACAAGTATTAGAGAAAATGGACTGGATAATAGGAGATAAAAATAATAATAATTGTAAAAATATAGTGTTGTGGATCCCGACTGTGCGAGTCAAAATTTGGTGTGAAGTAATTAGAATAGAAAATGACTGCAGTATATATATGTATATATAAATATATATATATATATATATGAAAAAAAAAACCTGATTTTCCTTTTATCGTCTTTCTTCACCATCAACGTCTCTTCATTTTGTTGTTTATCTTCTTCTCTAAAAAATCAACAATACATTTATATATATATATATATATATATATATATATATATATATATATATATATATATATATATATATATATATGAAAAGAATTAAAAAAAGAAAAAGGAAAAAAAAAAAAAAACCTGCTCCAAAGAAAGCCACTAAGAAAGCTTTTGAAAAGATGCATCATGCAAGAACAAAAGAATAGAGAAATTATAGTATGACGGTGAGTTGTGCTGTAAGAAAGGAAGAAAAAGCTTGACTCAGTACTACAGCGCGTGAGTGCACATGCAAGAACAAAAGGAACCCTTAATTTATTTCAGAGTTTAATTTGATGGGAAAGCTAACAGGCGGAATGTGGAAAGACGTACATAGTATATATAT